CGTGTATATTTAAGAAAGAATAGAGATGGTGCCTGTGTTACCCTTTATCCAGTTTGCCCGATTGGTAACATCTTGCAAAACTACAGTACAGTATCAAAACCAGGAAGCTGGCACTGACATGACTGAAATACAGAACAATGTCATCACCACAAAGATGCGTCTCACTTTCCTTTTTTAAAAATTAATTTTTTAGAGCAGTTTTAAGTTCTAAATTGAACAGTAGGCATAGCGATTTTTTCATATACTTCCTCCCCTACACATGCACTGACTCCACATGTACAATTGATATACCTACATTGACGTATGATAATCACCCCAAATCCATAGTTTACCTTAGGGTTCACACTTGGTGGTGTCCATTCTGTGGACTTGGACAAATGTGTAATGACATATATCCACCATTATAGTATCATACAGAGCATTTTCACTGACCTGAAAGTCCTCTGTGCTCTCTGCCTCCCCTCAGCCTCTGATAACCACTGATATCTTTTTGCTGTGTCCATAGTTTTGCCTTTTCCAGATTGTCATACAGTTGGGAATCACACAGGATGTCGCCCTTTCAGATTGGCTTCTTAATAGTTTCCATCTAAAGTTCTTTCATGTCTTTTCATGGTTTGATACCTTATTTCTTTTTAGCACTAAATAATATTCCATTTTCTGGATGTATAATAGTGCATTTACCCATTCACCTACTGAAGGACATCTCCTGATCACATGGTCACTTTGATGTACACTCAGTGTTTTTTTGTTTTTTTTTTCTGACCATGCTTTCTCATTTTTTATAATATGGGTAAGCTGAGAATATTCCAGGTCTTTAATTTATGCTTCCTTTTTGCTTGTCTTTAAGTTGTTTCTCTTTTTTTCACATTGTACCATAGTCAGGAGAAGCCAAGTCGCACCTTAAACATTTTGCTTAGAAATAGCTTAATTTAATCACTTACAAGTTCTACTTTCCACAAAACACTAGAACATGAACACAATTCAGCTAAGTTTCCTGCCACTTTGTAACAAGGATAGAACACCTTTCCTTCAGTTTCCAATCACATGTTCTTGATTTCTGTCTGTGACCTCATCAAAATGATTTTTACCACCCATATTTCTACCAACATTCTGTTCAAGATTACTTAGGTATTCTCTGAGAAGATTGAGGCTTATTCTACAACTCTCTTTTCTTTCTGAGCTTTCAACAGAATTGCCCCTGTGGGTCCAATGACAGCAGTGAACTTTTTCTAACATGCATTTCAGAACCCTTCCAGGCGTTACCCATTGCCCAGTGCTAAGGCTGCTGCCCCTTTTTTAGGTATTTGTTACAGCAGTTCCCCACTTCTCAGCACCAATTTCTTAGTCCATTTGGGATGCTATAACAGAATGTCATAGACTGAGTGGCTAAAACTGCAGACATCTATTCCTTGCAGTTCTCAAGGCTGGGAAGTCTAAGATCAAGGTACAGCAGGTTTAATGTCTGGTGAGGGCCCACTTCCTGGTTCAGAGAAGGGTGTGTTCTTGCTCCTGATACCTTCACATTGAGGGTTAGGATTTCAACATATGAATTTGGGGGTGGGGGGGCTGCGTGTGGATGAAAACATTAAGTTTACAGCAAAATGTAGTACTTAAAAATTCGTATTTAAATATATTTATTAAATAAACACTGTAGCAGTAATAACAGGGACAAGTAATTGTTTAAAGAGTGCATAATCTTACCTTCATCTTAACAAATCTGTTTGAAGAGCCTTAGTCTAATTATATTCTGATGGCTGAGCTATTATTCAGTATGTACTTTCCTATGAACATTAGTTATCTCTGCTCAAAATTAAAAAAAATTTATATCGGTAAAATGTATATTTCATCTCATGGTTCAGGCTGAAGGAAGAAGCAGGCATTTCTTTATTAATTAAAAGGAAATGAACACCCCCAAAAACATAAATTTGTTGAATGTGTCACTGATCCAAAAGTTTGAAAATCTTTCTTCATGTTATCCTTGGCAACACACGTTATTATTTCACATTACTTTTCTACTCCCCAACTCACGCTTCCCGGACAAAAAAGCAAGCAAACAACTTGTGTAACTTCATAATTATCAATGGTTTG